ATCCATTTAATAAATTATCTCCCAAGGTTTCGGAGCGGCAATTCGTAGGGGAAGCTAATAGTATTCCTACCAAAATCACCTTTCTTTTTACCAATCTTTTCAATCTCTTGAGTGACTTTAATTAATCCATGAGATAGGTAATAGAATACAAAGCACTATTATGCACTAATTGTCTTCTTTTGTTTATCTGTTGCTATCATTCACAAGTTGTTAGCATCTGTTTCACGGGTCAAGTAAAATCACTCTAACATTCAAATGCAACTAGCTCCGTTCACATCATTACGGTAGGAATAACATCAAGAACCCTCCGTCAAGGTCCCGTGATTTTCTTCTCTAAGATCTAAAACCACATTTTGTGTACAATATAACCAAAGTACTGCCAAGCGGTTTCATTTGAATGTTCTCACCATAGGATTTTAGCCATAGACTCAAAAGTTAGAACGGCAAGCTTAATAAAAAACACCAGGATAATGTTACATTTGAATGGTCTCAAAGGCCGTAGGATTTCATCTATAGATTCAAAACTTAGAACCAAATTGACAGGTAGCCTGTGTACAGACTCCCACTGTCCTAAAAAACAAAATCGGGGAGAGAGACGTCTGTACACAGGCTAATTGACAGTACTCAATCGTTCACTCCGGGGGAGGAGGGTGGGAATGGTTAATAAGAAATCAGTGAAATATGTTATTCCATAACAAGACTTACAAATTTAATTCGCCCATCGTTCAAATAGATCGAATCTACCTACTGAACGGAGGCAGGGCGGATCTAGGGGAGGGGCCCGGGGGGCCGCGCGCCCCCTTATTTTTAGACCAAACTGAGGCCCGAAGGGCCGAAAAAAAACGTTTTTTGGAGATTGCGCCTCCCTTATCTCAGAGACTGGATGACCCCCCCCATCCCCCTTCCCCCTTATCTGAAGGTCTGGCTCCGCCATTGTGAGGCCCCGTCCACACGAATCCTGGCAGGCCACACGGATTTGCAAATCCGTCGGATCCAAAACAAACTAGTCTGGAGACCGTTTTCTAAAAGTTGGGGTTTCGGTGAGCGGATTCACTATTTCCGTGTAATATATGCGGTTTCAAAAACGCCGGGATTCGTGCGGACGTGTCGAGACGTGGCGTAAATCGGAGCAAACCTAACGTTTTTAAATTAGATTCTATTGTACTTTCTCGCCACTGATTCTAGTCACTATTGAGTGACAAAAAATAAAAGTGAAAATACAAAAACCGAGCATTTCTATGAATTTCAGTCTGTAATAATAATTCTCAGTAAAGCCGCAAAATGTTAAACCTCTTATTACAGAACGCAATGTCTGAATTTTTCAAGTCCGTAAAAAAACTAAAGGTTGAACATCTTTTATAGCCTCTCTCAGGCGTTCAGAAAATGGGGTGGGCGCAAATAAAAAAACAGAGCAGGCTAAAGACTTCCAAGAGATCAAATCAGGTGACTAGTGCTCATAAATGTTCCTCCAGAAGTTTCAGTTATACGCTAAGGACGTTCTTCAATTGAGTTTGTTAATAGCTTCTATAGGGTGTATCAGACACGATGTTTCCCATGGACTTCCATCTCTCCCGCTCGCTTAGGACCAAGTGATAGTAAAATCTTTGGCCATGGGTAATGTAAGATTGCCGATAGTTAAAACCTGTGGAAAAAGCAAATGATAAGAATTGAAGTGGCAATGGGTCACTCAGAACTTGGATTAACCTAACAGAATTTTACGTATTACAATGCTCATGCTTCATGCATTGGTCAGCCGAAAAAAAAATATGATAGCATACGTCGATAGCGTACTGGATAAGTAAAGAGTCCGTTTACAGTGGTCGAACGCTTATACAGCTCTATAATACAGCGGGACCCTAACTGATCAAATTGCTGAGGTTCATGTATTAGATAGACACTTTTACCCAAAAAGTAAAATAATAATAATAATAATAACAATAATAATAATAGTAATAAAATATACATGTAAGTTCTCAGTGTAGTCTTTTCAGGGAGCTTACAAAGCATCCCTGCTATCAATGGGAGCCCTGAGGTCGCTAACTAGACTATAGAATACACAATAAAATATAAACAAAAGTAACATAAATATAAGAAACAGTACATTTACAACAATGATTAAAAAACCTAACTTACATGGTACAAA